GCATTTTATAAAGCCAGTAGTGATTCTTATAATGTAAAAAATGAAAGTCTTTTCCTTGACAACATCTGGCAAAAAGGAGGCCATTAATATTTTACAAGACAGTTAGATCCTACAAACTCCACCTTGCTGTTAAAATTTAAAGAGCTTTCTCAAAACTGTATTTCTCCGTTGTTACACCTTTAATTAAATTGATTCATACAGCTAATGTTCCTATTTCATGCCAGAACTTCAGTGCAAAGGGCTTGCTGCTATTTGGAATATGTATATCCCACTTGAAATAAGAACCACGTAAACTATTAGTCTGTTAAATGCACAGGAGTGCTGACACCTAAACCAGTGCAGGCTGTTAATTATTTTTGTGATAACCTCTTTTATGAGGATATAGGCAACAACATAGAGGCAACAAATGATCTTTGTCATGTCAGGTGAAACTAACTGCAAATACAAAACAGACTCCAAAGAGACTTAGGTCTTGATTTTAGAAAAGGATTCCTGTAGATTCCTGGTATTGAACAGCGTCTGCTCAAGGTCCATTTATTCAGCTGCTGGGCTTCAAGAACCTGACCAACATCTAGTCCTCTTCTTACGTATCGGCATTTAGCTCTTTCTAAGAAATCCTACCCAATGCACTAGTTAGCCAAATAGAGAGGATTCTGTTTTTAATCTAGTATATACATTAAAACCAAACCAAAAAATGTCAGTATCACAAACACCTCTGAGAGCAGCCCCAGCATACAGCTCATCAAGGTTTGCCCTCTCCATAAAAGCCAATTTTCACTAAGCAGCATATTAGAGCATGGGGGGACTAAAATTATTACATCTAACTGAAGACAGAATAAATTTAGATGGGAAGAATTTATTGGATTATTTTGTTCAGGGAATAGAAGCTACACACCTCTAGCAAAGCCATGAGATTCTTAATGAAGATGAGACTAGTTAAGTCTAGGTTCTACACCTCATCCCAATTATTATAATCAAATTGATTTCTTCCCTTTTCTCCCCTCTGCCTTTTAAAACAAAATCCACACCAACTTTCATACTGCAAGAAGGCAACTGTAACTTGAATAACACAAGCCGCATCCCTACGAGCTAGGGTATGAGCTATGTGCTTGCATGCTATATTTGAAAAGACACATCTGAAAATTCATGTTGTTCATTTCCGAGGCATAAAAGCCACTTGTGATGCCAGTACCAAGTAAACAGAAGAGAACTGTCCCTATTTCACTGATACGTATCATATATATCAATATGCATGCATTTCTCAAACACTGCCTATCTTTTTCTCTGCCTAGTAGCAATGCTACTGTAACAAGTGATATCTAAATACACTTTTGGGGAAAGATAAAAGTTCCATTATATGACAAGGAATATTATGTCTAACAGAGAGATTATAATAATCATGAGTGAAAAGAAGATGTTTGATCCTGCTTATGCTGAAAGTTTTTAAAATTTATAAAAAAAAATCTTTTAAATGAATTTTATCCTCAGGAAAATGATTAAAACAAGAAAAGCCTTGAGATGTCAGCTGGTGACATGTTTTTCTTCTTTATCTTTCTTTTTTGTTGTTGTTGCTGTGAAAAAAATCTGAGAGAATACAGCAAAGTGCATCATTAACTTCTTATTAATTTCATAATACAAAGGCAATTCAGTTAAAATAGTGGTGCTGCAACTTTAAATTACAGAACTAGCTTGGTATTTAATGAGAGATTTAGCACAGCAGGGTTTCTGTTAAATTAAGTTGTGCCTTCACATCACAGTGGGAAAACAGGTGTATATTGGTTTAGAATTATGGAAATGTTGACTAATTCCAAGGCTTGTAATCAAACAGCAAGGCACCCTGCAATATTTTCTTCCAAGATTCTGCATTAATCATTTATGTCTGGTCTTATTTTCTTCATGTCCACTAAAAGGGTGCAGCTCAAAGGAGCAGATAAAGCGTTCGTGTTTTCATGTCTCTGTTACGGATGAGGTCCACGCAGAAAGCAGACACAGAAACAGAGCACTGCAGGGTTTCTTTGCTCAAATACCCACCTAAATTAAGCTGAACATGCAGAAGGGGGATAGGTTTCACTCTACAAAAGCACTTTTTTGGCTTCATGAGTATCGATCCCCAACCTGCTTACTGAGCAACACGGAGCAGGTCTGCATTTAAGAAATGGAGAGGCAGAGACTGGAGATAACCTGGCTGCAGTCATTTAATGCACACAGTGCAGGGCCACATGTATCCCTCTCCCCAGGCCTGCAGCAGGATGGGTGATACCTACATGCAGGCAAGGTGCAGCTGCTGTGGCATCCCTGCTCTTGTATCTGCCCTAATTATGTACCTCAAGCCAGTAAAGCACTTGCTTGTGCCCCTGATTTTTTTTTTTCCTGGGCTATTCAGGGATGCTTCTTATCTGACGTATGGTTGTATATCAGCAAAAGCTGAAGGCACATCTTCTGTTTCCAAATACACCTTCTTATTGTACCTCCCACATAGCACATCTTGTTTACTGGAAGCAAGCTGATGCCTGAATAAACCTGATCCAAATTCATTCCTTGTAACCCCAACAGACAATTGCTTCCATTTGCTCTGAAAGAGACTGTTTCGCACACGGGCTATCCACTACCAATCCCTGCTAGCTCAGGGAAAGCTGCTTAGTGGGCCAGATCTAACAGCATGGAAATTGCTAAAATTCATAGGAGGAGAATCCTGCGCAAGTGAAGTGTTTTCTGCATGTGTGCCACAACTTTAAAACACACATAAATGAAGATATTTTGGGAATATCCTGATGCAGCATAACAGTATCACAATATATGCTGAATGTCAGCCTACAACAGAATCTGTTTTATAATACATTTACACGTCGAATTGTTCCTGAAGTAATGAATCTGTATTTGAGTTGGTTCTTTTTATTAGAGATGTGTCTTTAAGAAGAAGGTATAAAAATTTATCTCCAAGTAAAATCTTAACATCCCTGGCAGTATCAGGAGAATTTTAAAGCCCAGGCCCCAGTGTCATGGGAATGCAATTTTCACATTTCCTTAAAAGAAAAGTTTGCAGCCTCGTGTTCAGGATGGAAAAACAGAGCTTGAAAAGAAACATTTTAAATGACACAGAGCTAGAGGCAGCATTGGAAAAAAAAGGTTATATTTTTGAGCTTTATTTAAAAAAAAAAAATAAAAAGGTGCAGTAACCTCTTTAACTGCTGCATGCTCCTCAGCTATAAAGAAGCAGAGGAGAAAATGATGCCCTGCTCAAGTAAGATGCTATGCAGAGCTGAGCCAGCTTTGCCACTTGTACATGGGTATCTCAGGGAAAGGAGGCTGCCCCTCTGAGTCACCCGTGGATTTATCCAAGACCTCTAAAAACAGAGCTGCCAGCTTGTGGGGCTCAGGGAAGAAGAGAGGAGCACCAGCAGCTCAGGACCACCTCTGTTGGAGTGTCCATCCCACCCAGCCAGTCTGCATGGCCACTCGACTGAAAGCCTGTTGGGGATGACTTGGGTTTGGAGAGCAGTTATACAATGAGCTGGGTTAACTTCAGCGTTAGCTGAATTGAGTTTGGGAGTGTTCAGCTAAGGGCTTGGCATTTTCTAGCAGTGGGGATGGGAACCAACAAGTGGAGCTGCAGAGCCAGAGGATGCTGTGATTCAACCCGAGCTCCAAGGGGGTCTCAAAGGCACCTTCCCTGAGGGGTCCCTCAGTGCCTTCTTTTCTCTGTGAGGACAGCACATCATCCCAAATATCCTTAAAAGCTGAACCTGCCACTTCGACTATCGACATTTACCCTTGTAATGGCCAGATGCTGGAAAAATTTACTCGAATCTGAAGTTGCACAATTGTTCTTTGATTTTCCTCTAAGCTGGCTGGTCTCTGCAGATTCCCTCCCACCCCGTCCAGCATTTCCACTTGCAAATGACAGAGGAATCCCATTCTACCTCTGAGAATGAGCAGGGCTCATGGGGAACTATCCAACATACTTCTCCTCATTGGTCATTTCCATGACAGATGAGGTGACTTTCCTAATAGCAGTTACATAAAGTGGGCCAGACAGACGTGACTTTTTTTCAAACAGGTAGTGTCCAATATCATACAGCATGCAGGAGCTAAAGAAGATATTGGCCATATAACTGCCAGTCCAACCATTATTCTGTTTATTTATAGCAATGATGTATATTTATTTTTTTGTGTGTAACCATACAAGCCATACATATATTGGAACATTTGCCCTACAACAAGAGGGAATATATCCCTATCCCTTATAGTTTTCCATTTCAATCCCCAAAGTATTTGGCTGCAACCAGCAGAACAAATGAAAACATTAGAACAAGAAGACTTCAGAGTTAAGTCATGCAATTACCAGCGATATCCTTCGCTGCGGACCTGTAACTCAAGTCTGAACCACCGCAGGATAACAAGCTACAGTTTGTAGGATTAGCCCAGTAACAAAAGCACAACTGTTTTAAGCACCGGTGGGATGTATCAGTGGGAGCAGGGTGCTGAGCAGTGGCGGTGGCAGGGAGCAGGATGGCTCTGTGCAGGCAGCGATGTGGTGCTGTGCTCTGTGGTCCCCTGATGTGCAGCCATCACGATAATGCAGGCAGTTGTTTAGAAACCATGTCTACAAAGGCTGCGTTTAATGAAGTTGGCTGTATTTTGTCTTTTCCTCTTCTCTCCCTTTTGAAACTAGAGTCCCCAGTGGTGCAGTGTTTTTCTGCCATATGTTTCCCCCCCCTCCCTTCTGTAAAAAAAATAAAATTGGATCTACCTTGCACTTCAGTAACTGCCTCTAGTCAGCAGGAATCAGCACTATTTCCAGCCAAGGGACTTTCTACAGAAGAGCAACTGCCTTTGGAGATAATGCCATTGCTACAGGACTGGCACTGGTACAGGACAGGCCATCCGGCTTGTCACCCTCCCAAGAGACCAAGGTCATTTGGGGCACTAAGCAGCATCTCAAGCAAAAGGGCTATTTTCTGGCAATGAAATAATTAGGATCAAAAAGTAAATGTACTCACCCCAGGTAAAGTTTTAATATTGTGCAGTGCATTCTGTGCCTCAAGAGCAGCTTTTCTTGTATAAAATGTTACGAAACAACAACCTATAGAGAGAAATGAAAAGCTTTCAGAAATTAGTGAGTATGATTTGTGAGAGTACAATAGGGAGGCAGAAAAAACTGGTTGAACAACACATTATGAAAGCTGAAAATGTGAATTACCATGAGGCTGCCTGAATGACATGAATAAAAGAAAGCTTGTATGGTTTAAAATAAAAAGTCACCCCCTGTGCATTGCATCTATAGCACACCTACATTGTTAGTGAACTGTAATCACTTAGAAATTAAGTTAACTAAAATCCAATTGGCTTTGTACGGTGTAAATAAGGTTATATTTTTCTGAAGGCTCCCCATTACACTTTGAATATAAGCAACATGGCAAGCTCAAACCAGTAGGAATTCATTCTTGCATCCCAGGCAGAAAATCAGGACCTCATTTAAAGGGCCTTATATGTAAGGTTTGCTTTGCCTATATGCAAGGAGCTAAGGTTTGCTCCCCCCTTTCTGAAACCTGCTGAGACTGGAGGTAGGATGCCCATCTCAGCTGCAAGAGGGAAAACAAACTGCAGGAGAATTTGCCACAGGTGGGATAGTGGGGGCGGCTGGTGGCTGGCTGCACCATGTGAGGCTGTGCTCACCCGGCACCTGCCTAACCACCTTTAGTTTCGGTACAGCAGCTTCAGTTGCCATAATCCCTCATTTTCCCATTGGCAGCATGGTGCAACTGAGCATATGTAGGATCAGACACAGGTTGCTGCTTCCCATTGCAAACGCAGCCAGTCCTGCAGGACACGCAGCCCAGGCAGCTCAACACCCACCCAGGGTGAGGCCAGGACTCAGGGACAGCTATAACATCTTGGTGTGGGACAAAAAAAAAAAAAAAATAGAAAAAAGGACCAGCAGCTGAGCTGCTTCAGTCTGTAATGACTCTTAGGCTATATCCCACTGCATGTTTTCCAGCAATGAAGTCTGTGAGGTTGCTGCTCCTAGGCATGCACAGGGCATGGAGAGAGCTTTCTGCAGGAGGACCTCATATCCCCATTCCAGGTGGGGTCCTCTACATGATAACCCAGTTTGTAACTTCAGCCTGACTTCCAGCCAGAGAGAAAACACCTTGAGAGCATCACTGCAGCACTGGGTGCATAACACAAGGAAAATTCCCCCTGAAACAGCTCCCGCCCAGCGCAGTGTCAGTGTTATAGGCATGCTCACAAAGCCTAACCTGCTGCTGCTCTGTCCATATGGGAAAGGGGTTGGGGCTGAATGCAGCCCTAGTGCTGTGGATGTGAGCAGCCCCTGCTTTGGAGCTATGTCACCCTAAGAAGTGGCACCCAAACTGCTCTGGAGCTCTGTGGTCAGGGGGTTTGGTGACCCAGCCGGTATGGGGACAGCCTGCTGGGAGGCAGAAGTGAATGCTGAGGTAAAAACCTACTTCACAGCAAACAAAACAATGGCGATTTTACTGCCGAATCAGCAAACAATCCTATTGTCTTAATCCTTGACAGAGATTTGTTGCAGCTCCAGGGAAATGCCAAAACCAAACAGTTAGCAGAAGAACCCTCAGCTCCTGAGCCTCAGCGCTGGCCTTCCTGCTCCCTTGGAGCGTGACACAGGCCAGACACTCTGTCCTTTGCTTGCAGCGGCTCCCTAGTGCTTCCCAAGGTGAAACACCACGTCACCCCTGGCGTGCCAGCTTTTATTCAGCCTCTCAGCCTTGCCGTAGCAGTAAAGGGGACCGAGGACAAAGCACGCACAGGAGGACACAAGCAAGGAAGCGTCTTTAGTGGCCGCATGGAGCGGGTTCACACCACACGGTGGAAGGGCTCCATCCAGAATCCCCCCTCTGCTGCCTCCTGCTTGGCTCCAGCTGTGCACTGCTCCGTGAACGCTCCCTCTGGCTTTGCAGCAGGGCCGGTGACAACCATTACCTTTACAACAAGCAAAGGTAATCATGTATTCCCAGCTGGAATACAGCGAGTTTATCCCTTAACAGAAAACCACTTGCAGGCAGCATAATACACGGGCACGAAGGTAATGCTGACTTAACACAGCTGGGAGAAACACTTCTCGTAGTGCCAACAGATTCCTTAAAATTTCACAGTTCACGAAAGAGAAGGTTTGATAATTATTTCAGTGAGCTGAACATTGTTCGATAGGGATGGCTATTACAGACAGCCACAGCCTGTTAGGGTTTGTGCTTCCTGTGAGTGCTTCTAAATCTTCTATTCCACTGGTAAACTCTGCAAATTTTAATTATTCGAATCCAGAGTTAAAATGGGAAACGAATCAGAGTTTGTGACATTAAGTAGCACAACTTTGAGGAAACAGCATGGCATATTTCTGTCCTGCCAGCTGGTTCCGAAGTCTATCATCTCATACTACTGCCTCTGTATTTGTTTCATTAGCTGTTTAGTATACAGCTTTTTAACCAGAAGAGAGGATTCTGAGGAAAAAATACCAAGTAATAGTCATGACCTTGCAATTGTGATGTCCTTACCATGGGTCTGAAGAGTTTTGTTTTGGATTTGGACTCTGTGGGCTTATTCTCATAAGACGTTTGGAAGCTTTGGGTTCATCATTCTTGGCACCACTTGAAAGAACTGTAGTTGAAAGATGAATACCCCATGAAATACCCTTTAACTAGTCGTTTTTGGGGAGCAATTGTGTAAGAGAGAAAAATGTCTCTGGGAATGAAGACTGGGAGAAAACACAGCAGGAAACACACGTTTTCAGCAGGTTAGCAGCCTGAGATGGTGCCTTTTAACCCCATAGATTGACACATCTGAAAATACACATGGATAAAATCGTTATCTGTACTAATTTTGCTTGCATCTTATTAAAGAAATACAACAAAATGATGGTTTGCCTTGCTTTGGGGAGAGCATGGACACAGTCTGTGGACGCTTGATTCTGAAGCTCTCTGACAAAGAGGTTGGGGCTGGACTGAAGAAAAAAGAAAATATGAAAATCCATACCGGGAGCAGCGAACATGCACACAGTCCCAGAGGAAATGCTAGAGCTTAGCCTATGGAGGTGCTCACTGCCAAGGTACACACACCGCTGCAGCTCCAAAAACCCAGCTTTGAAGATACCTTAAGTGTAAAATCCCTTTGGCTCAGGACCACGTGCCACAGGAGAAAATACAGAGTTCAGTTGTTTCTGCAGAAATACTGGAAGGGAAGAGTGCTGTGTAAAAAGACAGGGCTCATGTGTGCTATTGGGCTGGTAGCTGGGCCCTGCTGAAGAACAGCTAGGAAGCAACTTTTCTGTTCCACTTTCCCTAAGAAAATGCAATATTACCATAGCTAAATCAGTGACACCACTGGACAATAAAAAGTATATTTCCTAAGAGAAAATAAAAAAAACAACACACCTTCGTCTCTTCAGTCCCCTGCACATATAATCATGGTTTCATCAGCAGTAGACACGACAGCAGCTTGAACCCCAGCTAAACCTTTCTGACATCCAAATACCCAAAAGCCTGACAGTGATAACCTTCTCCCCTCCTATTCAGGACTACTTATAAGGCAGATTGACTTGTGGACATGGTTCTGCCTATTCTCAGTCAGCCCAGTTTAGCTCTGATTTAACTTTGTGTGGACTAGCTTCTTCTTGACTAAAGGAATGGGAGCTCATGCCTCCAAAACAGCAAATCCCCTTTGTTTTTGTACACTGGTTGTGGTCTAGCTGGATTTACTCGAGCACACTTTACTCTCTATTTACTCCAGCATACGACATCTCTGCTCTGTACCTAGAAAAAATACTGAATGAATCATACGGATCCCTACAGTCCCTTAAGGACATCGGCAACAACTTTGTGGCTATTCTGCCAGATGCTTGAACAGACTGAATGAAAGCTGCCACCCTGCACTGTACAGCATCTGGTAGCAGCAAACAGGGGACCTGAGAAACAACGCAGTGAGCAGCCCTACTTCTCAGTGCTTCTGGTGATCAAATGCTGCAGTGTAGACACTACAATGCTCAACTTCAACACCTCATTAAAAAAAAAAAAAAAAGGAAAAAGATCTCTTATCTCAGCTTGTTTTGTCTTTTTTTTTTTTTTTCTAAAGGAAATTTAGTGCCAGAAAAAGACCTTGAGGTCCCAGCCATTGGGAGAGAGTTGACACATTCAATTCTCCATGACACATCCAATTCACAAGCCCCTACTCAGGCTGCCAAAGGCACCAATTAGCACCACTGGTGGTGGTTTTTTTTTTTTTTTTTTTTTCCAACAGCAACCTGTTTAGCAAGACACCAATGGGGGCAAACAGCCTCACGTATGGCTGGAAACAGCTTTACTTGAGTCACTGTCAAAGATGGCACCAACGGATTGCATGGGGATTGTGCAGCTCTGGCTTCACTAAAACAACTGTTTAGAAGTTAGGGATGGAAATAAGAAAGCAAACAGCAAGGACACTCACAATACCACATTCACCTTTGATTTTCTGCTGACAGTGAAATTGGGCTTCTGAAGGATGTTTGTGCACATTGTGGAATTAAGATAAAACACAAAGCTTTCACCAGGAAACTTCAGAAAATGCCAGTCCTCCTGAGAGCTATTTTCAGGGAGCTGTTGGTGACCTCCTGCAAGAGGACTTCTCCTTCTGTGTGACTTTTTCATTGAACTAGGCGTTGGTGAAACACTTGTCCCCATCCACCCTTCAGTGTGGACACACAGAGCTGTGCCAGTGCCTTCATGGGATACCAGAATGGGTTGGGTTGAAAGGGACTTCAAAGCCCACCCAGTTCCATTCAGAATTGGATTATGTATGTTGTGGCAGGGAACATAAATGCATACAAATCAGGTTTATAGCATCAAGACAATTTCACGTCATTACCAGCTAATGTGTCCCTAAAGAAACCAGCCCTGCATGCTGGGATGTGAGTTGAGCTCTAATGGTCTGGGCTTGCAAGTAGATGAATCCCAGAATGGTTTGGGTTGGAAGGGATCTCAGAGCCCACTCAGTGCCACCCCGTGCCATGGGCAGGGACACCTCCCAGCAGCCCAGGCTGCCCAAAGCCCCATCCAGCCTGGCCTTGGGCAC